TATTTTGATAGCAGAGCCAACAGGGTTTGATATACAGTGTGATATGGAATATAAGAGAAAAAGAGGAGTGAGTCAAGGTGGGCAGGAGACGAGATTGGAAGGATGAGGTGGCCATTGACTGTGACGGAGATGACTGTTAGAGCAGAAGGTTTGGGGAGAAAACATTTGGAACTGTGTTTTGGACACTCTATTAATAGTAGGCAATTGTTTACACAAGGCTAGAATCAATGTGGCAGCCCAGAAGCCCAGGTTTAAGATACACATTTGAAAGTCATTAGAATATAGATTGTATTTAAAACCAGTAAACTAAATGAGATCACCCCATGAAATATGCAGTTCCTGATAGATAAATATGCAATTCTTTATTATAAAATATACATAGTGCTTGTTACTTCCTTTCTATATGTTGCAGCTGTAATACACACACACATACACACGCACATACACACATATATATATATATATAAAACTTAGTAGACAAAACTAGACAATGACATCTCAAGAAAAAAAAATAGGAAGATGTTGACAAGAAAAGAAAAGGAGAACTGGTAAAATTGCTACAAACAATCCCAAGAGCAATTTACTACTGTGTATATAGCTGAAAATATATATGCCCAATGACTTAAAATGTCCACCCATGGACATAAGAAAATGTTATAAATTTTATCATATATCCCCAAAACACTTACATTAGAATTTTTATTAAACCATTGCAACTCACTATCTAGCAGAAGAGAAATGGAACAATACAAGTTAGCATACCTGAACAATGGAATATTATACAACTGCCAACTATATAAACTAGAACTGTATAAATCAACATAGATTGGTGAACAGACATAACATTGAGTCAACAAGCAAAGTGTATGTATATTATACAGTTTTGAAAATATTTTACGTCAATTAAAAAGAAAAAATGTTGCACTATATGTATATATACACATATATACTGTACTAAATATAAAAGCATTCATAGCTTCAAAAGTAATTATAATTAATGTTACTGGGGCATAACACTGGAAAGAGGAACACAGATGATTACAATATTATTTATATTGATTTGTTTCTCAAAAATATATAAAATAATAAGATGCAACTGTAACAGAATAGTTTTATTTCTTCTTTGTGGGTGTGTTATGCTATGTTCTTTTCTACATTATTTTATCTTTTTGAAGAGATTATGAAATTGTGTGTTTGTGTGTATGGGTGTGTGAAAATTGGGTTAGGAACTCTCCCAGATTTTGAGTCATTATGCTACAGAGCTAGGTTGCTACTAGAACTATTAGATCAATTGTAATATGCTTGGCTCTTGGTGAAATATTTTACTAAACTCTATTATTAACTTCTCTCAATGAAAAATAATTTTCCTTCTGCTAGTTTCCATAGTCAAATATAAAATTATAGCATTACACAGCCCAAATGCAAAGAATGGAAACAAGCTACGTCTTAAAATAAAAACACTCCCCCCTCTCCAATTTTGGAAACTGACATAAACATAATGGGGAGAAAACTCACAAACAACAGATGTTGTGGTTCACTTTTCGGTTGTTGATACTAAACAAGAACACCTCCGAGATTCCACGGTCTGTGTTTATGTATCACAGTTGAAATGGTAAGATGGTATATTCTGGTATTGTACTTCTAAATATTGTAGGATAGAAGGCATTTATCGCAGAGAATCATTTTCCTCACAAAATGTTAGGTATCCTCTAATATTTTATTTATTTTGACTCGAAAGAATACTACCCCCTTATCCTGTACTGCGACGAAAATTAATAAACGTTCTGTGACACAGAATTTTGTGAAAAGTAAATGATTTTATTTTCAGAGAGGTAAATGTTCAATAAAACATATGGATATGATTAATTTTTAGTATTGCACAGATAGTAAGATTCTCAAAATATAGTTCATTAATATAATTAATAAACAAATATGAAAAATATTCAAATTTAGTAATTTGAACATTAGAAACATTTTTTAAAATTCTATATTACAAACATGAATCACTACTAATGAACATTTTAAAACAATTTCTGGAACTTATGTTAATTTTCCATTGGGTCTAATTAGGTTGCATTACGGATACTTTTGTATTTATATGAAACAAATTACTTCTCTAGCTTCTTTGTTTAATTCTTCATAGCCAACTTGCAAATGCCTGTTGTTGATTACAAGGATGTGAGAGAGTAAAAGTTTACATTGCAGTGATTTTTCTTTTACCTAATTCAAAATAGTGCATTTACTGAGCATGTGAGCTATGCACATTGCCTAGGTTCAAACTTTCTAATTTCTCATTTTCCCTGCCTTTAAAACAAGGCTAATTATTTTGCGACATTTCAGTGGGATAATACATAAAAGTATTAGGCGTTTGGCACCTGGTAAGCACTTCGATCTCATCTATCAACAGCTTAATTATTACTGGGTATTTTCTGTTGCTGAAAAGGAGCTCATTTTCTAAATAGTCTCTGGTTTCTCAGCATGCACCTTGGACCCACTTCAATCGATTTTCCTTATTTAACAGTTATTTAGATCATTTAGAAAAATCACACCTGATTAAGTCCCTTCTGTAATTAAAACCCTGAAGAATTTTCAATTACTTTTAGGGCACAGACCAAAAATCCTTAACATATTCTTTAAGGTCCTGCCTAACATGGTCCTGCCTTCCTCAACCAGCTTCATCCTCATAAATTTTCCCACTGCTTTTGCCTTCTGGTCACACATTGTCCTCTTTAAGGTACTCAGAAACCATCGACCTTCTCCCTACTTTAGGACAATCACATACACCTGCAACCCTTCTCTCCAGTTAATTCCCACTTGCACTTTAGATCCATCTTCTAAATTCAATTTCTATGAATCTTCCTGACAATCCGTGATGGCTCCTGCTCAAGTCAGCACTGCTCTATAATACCCACTTCTTAATTTTTCCTTGTTATTAGTTTTATTGTGAGGTAGTATTTTAATATATTAACAGAATGAGTTTTCCACATAGAAAGCATATGATGAGTTACAGCAAGCATCATTACACCCTCTCCAATTACCCATGACTATACAAAGCTCTCCTAGACTGGAGTGGGGAGAGGGGGAATCCTAGAGGAGACAAGAGAGCACAGAACGTATTGGTTCCCACAGAGAAGGTAGGTGGGGAGAGCAGGCAACAGGAAGAGCACAAAGTTTGGGAACGTAAGAGTTTAGGAAATTTTGGAGCTTAAGAAACCTACTAGGCCCATAGACAAAGTCGCAGAAGTAGTCAAATCCTAAAGTATCTCACCCTGCAGAGTGTTGTGTAAGCAGGAGAAAAGGCCCAATGATGTTTCTTGATGTTTGACTCTGAAACATCAGACTTCTTTGCAGTCCTAGAAAACTACGGGTAGGTTTCAAACAATTTTCAGAAAAGGTGGGCATAAATTATGAAGAACCTTTGTTATCATCACCACTATGTCAACGATGTTGGCCTCCATGTCCGGGTCGGGTGCCGAGCAATCTCCAAAACTTGGGCAAATCCTCAGAGAAAATGTTTCCACTAATAAATTAGGGGCCATAATACAATTGAAATTCAAATAGAAGATGATAATAGAGTTACTTTGTTATAATATAGGTTTATCGAATACATTTGTTTTGGCTCTTTAAAATTATTTAACTCCATGGTACACTGTAAACTCTGTAAAGATAGGAACTTTGTCTCTCTTATGCATCTACCTTCAGAACTCAGTACAATCTTTGGCACAATGAATGAATACATATTATAGTCTTGGATAAATAGGTGATGATGAATGAATGAAAAGTGCATGGCCTATTGGTTGTAGATCACAGTCAATATCTTATGGAATATATATTTGAGTAAAAACTTAGATATTCTTAAAAGATTGCTAGGCTTATTGGGAAAGATGTTGCCACCTGAGGCTAGACCACTTAACTCATCTGGTCCCCAGTTCTCACATTGGTAAAATGGGGGTAATAACACTTATATCGCTTAGTGTTCTGACATTTAATACGAAATAATGTATGTACATGTATTAGGCCATTTCTTCATCACTATAAAGAAATGCCTGAGTTTGGGTAATTTATAATGAAAAGAGGTTTAATTGGCTCACAGCTCTGCAGGCTGTACAAGCATAGCTCCAGCATTTGCTGGGCTTCAGCAGATTGGGTAAGGGCCTCAGGAAGTTCACAATCATGAAGGAAGGCAAAGCAGAGGCAGGCACATTACAGGGTTCCGAGCAGGCGCAGGAGAGCTAAGAAGGGGATTTTTAACAACCAAACCTTGCATGAACTAAGTTGAGCTAGAACCACTTACCACTGAAGGGATGATACTAAGTCGTTCTTGAGGAATCTGCCCTCATGATTCAATCACCAGGCCCCATCACCTTCCAGGCCCCATCTCCAACACTGGTAATCACATTTCAACATGAGATTTGCGGGGGACAAACATCTAGACCATATCAGCACACTGTAGATGGAGTTTATTTATTTAAGCTCTTTTTTTTTTTTTAAATATATTTTTTCTAAGCTACTTTAAAATCAGAAAACATTTATTGACTTTATACTGTAGGAAATAAAACAACACCTATAATTTTATATAGCAGTGTATAAAAGTTCTTTAGAATTGGAAGCATCTTTACACATATTTATAGATATATGTATCTAAAGAAATTATACTTTTCTTATTGGTCACTTAGTCAAATACTCACTGCACTTAAGTTATTTTCTGAAATATTTTAAGAAATACTACATCTATTTAGATTTGTGGACTAATATTTAGGGAATCTTTCTTGTCTGAGTCAATGGATTTTTGCAGACATTAAAAAAAGTTTGGCAGTCAGATTATCTGACTTAGCTACTGTTATGAACTGAATTGTGCTCCCCAAAAACTCATATATTGAAGCCTTAACTTCCATATTTCAGATTGTGACTGTATTTCAAAATAGGACCTTTAGAGATAATTAAGTTAAAATGAGGCCATTAGGCTTGGCCCCAAGTCAACATAACTGGTGTCCTTACAGGAAGAGGAGATTAGGACATCAAGAGACACCAGGAGTACCCATGCACAGAGAAAAACATCATATGAAGACACAGCAAGAAGGTGGCCATTTGTAAGCCAAAGAGAGGCCTCAGAAGAAACCAAATCTGCTAACACAATCATGGACTTTCAGCCTCCAGGACTGTGTGAAAATAAATTTCTGTTGTTTATGTCACCCAGTGTGTGGAATTCTATGGCAGCCCTAGCAAATAAATGCAACCACTATCAGTATTATTTGTCTTTTTATACACTCTACGGTGTCAAGCCAAATTTAATTTTTAAAATAATGATATCCAGTATCCACTAAAGCTATATATGGCCCAGGATTTCATTCTTGGGCATATACCTAAGAAAAATATATGCTGATATTCACTATAAATATATTCATACCAGCTTTACTCATAATAACACCAAACTGGAAACAACTGACATGCCCATCATGAAACAGGAAAAATAAATTGTGGTATATTCACACAGTGGAGTATAACACAGCTCTAATGGAAAAACAAAAGCTGATACATGCAAGAAACAGAATGAATCTCAAAATAGATTTTTTTTTTTTTTAAATTTTTAACTTTTGTGGGTAATAGTAGGTATGTGTATTTATGGGGTACATGAGATATTTTGATACAGGCATACAATGTGTAATAGTCACATCAGGGTAAATGGGGTGTCAATTGCCCCAAGCATTTATCCTTTCCTTGTGTTACAAGTGATTCAATTATACTCTTTTAGTTAATTTAAAATGTACAAGAAATACAATTTTTATTGATGGAAACTAGACACAACAGAATAGATGTCATATGTATTTATTTAAGTTACCTTCAGAAACAACACCAACTAATTTATTATGATACAAGTCAGAATAATGATTACACTGGGTAGGTGGTAATTGAGTGGAAGAGGGAGCATAAGAGGTGAACGTGCTGGAAATTTCGTGCATATAATCTGGTTCATAATTACATGAGTGATGATGTAAGTTTTTTTTTTTTATCATTGAGGTGAAAATTTAATATTCACATGATTTACGTATGCTGTATTTCATTTTAAAAAGAAAAAGTCACCCATTTAATTCCATTTCAAAAATATACATATTCCATGATAAATAGGTGACTGTGCTTACATACCATCTCTAGTACTTCTTTAATCTGGGATTTGTAATTTGGGTGGGAACCTGAAAGGCATACATTTTGCTTAGGTAGCACTTTCTTGAAAATGATACCAGTTTTTAAAGTTTGGTAGAACTTTCCTAACACCTGATCTTTCACATTCTTTCCTTGCACATGTTGCTCCTAGTTGGCACAAGATGTATTCTTAGTCCATCCTCTCCTCCGGACTCTACCACCAAGATGGAAAATTACTTGTTTTTCAGCGACTGTTCAAATGTCACTTCAGAGTCCTCTTTCTATAGCCACAGGCAGTGAGTTAACTCTCTATATTCTTAAAATTTGCATAGTGTATTGTAATATGTTTGTATATGTGTCTCCCATACACAAAGATTCCCAAATTGTTGATTGAGTAAATAAATGAATGGAATAAATTGCATATGGAGTCAACCATAGGGTTCGAATGGGATTGGCTCTTTGAATTATGTAAGAGAAATTATTATTATTTTTTGGATCAGGAATGAGCTATCCTTTTTATTGCTCACATGGTAATATGTACATTTCTTCTGATAGCTTGAATAAAAGTGTAATTTATATGTCAATCTCTGCTACATGCTATAAAATGCCACAAGTGCAGCACTGTGCTTTATTTATTCTTATTTTCCCATTATTGCACTTAGTTCTATTATAGGCAGTAGCTGGCACTTCATGAGTGTTTGTTATGTGATTATGAATCAATGAATTTAGAAACAGTCAGTTAAACAATGAATGCAAAATCTGTCATACTTACCCATTCATGAAATTTACCATACTATCAGTTAACATTTTCTGAGCTGAGTTGAAATTTTCTGAAAGTCTTTACTACCAGATTGCAATTTGCATCAGAAAAATGTAAAAGCCACTCGATGAACATCAAAAATTTTCTAGTAAATACTGAAAAATGAAAAGTTTAATTGGAAACTGGTTTTAAAAAATAAAATCAAAATTATAAAAATGAGTTTACTTAACCTTTATTTAACAAAAATTTTCAATGCTAAATCTTAAAAAAAGAATTAATAAGACAGTGGTTTGAAAATATATACGTCTTTCCTAATTAAATTGTATAAAGTACTATATAGCCTCTTTCACTTTATTTTTGATTTGAGTGTGCTGAAGATAATAATAAATAAGGTCATTTAAAGAATGTTAAAGGGCTTTATTCATTTCCTCAATTATCTCCTTTGAGAGTTATCTCTTATCATCATCCTTGTCCTAATTTTATTGTATGTTGACCAGTATAAATAGGTCAGATTTTTATTTGTGAATGATTTAATCTGTAAATTGAACATCCCTTTCAACATTATTCATCACCTGCAAGAAGTTCTACAACATTTTCAAGGTTTATGATTTAAATTGCTGGACATCGTCTCCAGAAACTTTAGGAATACACTCTTTTTAAGTGTATTCCTAATACATTGTCTTTATAAGTGTATTCCTAATACACTGTCTTTATAGTGTATTCCTAGAGTTTCTGGACATATTGTCTGGCAAATATAATGACTTAATTATAATGGATGCAGTAAGTTATTTTAAAAAGACAGCAAATTCTGAATGACCAATCTTATAAAAATCCTGTTAGCAAAAATGATTTTATAATGACTAGTTTTGCTACTCTTTGCAATCTTGTAACTCTGAACAAAAATTATATGAGTAATATATTTTCATATATTAAATATTTACCTGAAGAGAATATGGCATAACTACATAAAGTACAAGTAAGAAAATGTGTGCACGTGCATGTGTGTGTTATTTAATGTTTATTAATTTCTCACTAATTTCAATTAGTACTCTATATTCTTTACATACATCACAATTTTTAGAACAAATATGTAATAGGTAATTTTACCACCATTATGCAGAAAAAAAAAAAAACAAAAAGAAAAACTTACATCCCTTAAGATTACAGACTTAGCTCAAGAGATAGAAACAGGATTGAAACCAGAATTCTGAATTGACACAAAAATGTATAGATATCCTTTTATTCTTTCGATTGCTCTAGCAAATCCTCTCTCAGACCAGTTTCAATTGATGAGGTTTTAGGAAGTTGGGATAAGCAACTTCAGGAAACTTTCTATCTCTAGAACGCTTAATGATAAATGATGTTCAATGGAACTATTAATTTTTATAACTAAAGTATAATTCTAATTTTTTCCTCAATGTATAGCAGAAATTTCCATTTTAGTATCTAAACAGTTTAGAAACCCCCTTTCCACAGGACAGTAATGAGTACCTCGTAAGATGCAGTTTGGAAAATATTGGATAAAAACAGCATGTCATCCTGAAATCGTTTTACTCTTCCTTTTTCAAAAGTCATTCATTTGGAATATAACCGTATTCAGAATAAACTGGATTGTTCACTTCCTATTTATTTATCTAAAACAAATAGATAATTATTTTCTTCATGTAATGCATTTTCTTCTATATTAATAAAACAAATTTATCCTTAAAACAGATTTGTACTAAAAATTTTTATAGAAGTCAAAGGAAAATTGAAATGATATTCAATAAATTCAGTCTGATTGCAACAGTTTCCTCAAAGCATGAAAGCTATAGGAACGTTTATTAAAATGTTTTTCTTCTATTCAGGCAAAATGTAATGGCAAGAAATTTTTCGTAAGTGCGATAAAAGTAAATGTAAGTTTGCCTACCGTAGAATGGTTGAACAAAAAACAAATATTGTGATATCAATGTCCCCTCTTTTAAAAGACGTTGTCTTTACAGCCACTGTGATCTACAGTGCCAAATATAACCCGAAGATAGACTCTCTAAGATTTATGTCCAATATGTTAGAAACAAACCACATTTACAGTCTAAAAGAAAAATAAATTCATCATTTTGTTCTAAAACAGAACAATTAGCCGGAAACACCTGAATGTCTACTTTAAACTATAATCTCAAAATTAGGATGTGACAGATAAAAAGAGTTACATATTTCATCAAGCTTTAGTATCTTCACAATTTCATTCAAGTTTGATCTAACTCTACAGAAAGTGAAACAAACTTTCTCTCTCTCTCTCTCTCTCTATATATATATATATCATTTCCAGATTAGACAGAAATTTCAATAAAACAAAGTAATACAATATATGTAGGAAAGCACATTGGCTACTGCTTCATTTTTCCGCTTCCTCTCTGTGGTACCAGGAAGTGGTATAAAGCCCTATAAAAACACAGCATAGCTGGTGAAACTAATAGGTTGATGTAAGTGGAAATTCAATATAAGCGGGCTTGACAAATGTGGGGAAATTTAACATTGAGCCTGTGGGATTTGGGGCTAGATTTTTAAATTTGATTAATAGGTTTAAGAATTATATATATATGGATTCAATACAAGTGGGTATCATGGTATCATAAAAGCAATGTTATCAACTAAAAAAGTTACAAACTCTATCTCCCAGGCATTGGATATGTGATGTCTTTTTAGCTCCTAAAGTTAACTGTTGGAATTGACTTGTTTTTACCTAGTTTTGATGTGCTTTTTTCAATTTAACATATTTCCTGAGCTGCTTCTTAGAAGCCCATTTTTTTGTTGTTGTTCAGTTGGCATTTGACAATGTCACCTGAAGGAAATATTTTGCATAACTTTTTGTTTGATTAAAGTTTTGTTTTTAAGTGCCATTTTAGAATTCAGTTAAATAAAACATTTTTAAATTTAGTTTCCTAAAGAAACTTTATTCAAACCTTGTATATATTCTTGCAGATATTCTAATCTTCAATTTAATGGAAAGAAAAACTCCCACTAAACTACATTTACAAAAGCAACACCTTAAATGAGGATAGTTTTCTTTTTCGTTGCCACCTTGGGAAATACCTACAAATACTTTGAAATTTTAAGGGCAGAAACTATTAAAAACAAAGTTAGTAGCCATGAATGTGGCTTCAAACTACAACTTAAAATATGTTAAAACAAAGATCCTAATTCCACTTAATCCTTTAGTTATCTACACTTTATAAACATATGAATATACAAGAGACAGTGTTAAGTTTGTGATATAATTTTCTATTATAGCAAATTGCTTCTATGAAAATAGTTTAGTATTTCATACTAAATAATATGAATTAATGAATGCCAGTAATGGCAAAATATGTTGGAAGTGGTGGATTCTGAATAATTTTTCTCAGTGCAACAAATAAGTTAAAAAAAATGATTAGCCAACCTAGTTCAATATT